GTTAGTTACTTATTATCTTTTAAAAGACCTTATAAATAGCTGCAGCGCGTTGCTTAAAAAGTGTTATGTTTTATTTAAAAGCTTAAAGCATAAGCTATATTTAACATTTCTTTAACATGTCTAAGTAGTGTTATTAGAAATGCATTAGTGTAGAAAGAGTAGTGTAGTAGGGTCTTAGCAAAAGTAAGCAACTTAGGTGTGTAAGTAACTTGCCTATAAAGTACATTATATTATAAAAATAAAGTTCTTACTATGCTTTAAAGTAGCCTATAATACTATAATTACTTTTAGTAATATCTAAAAAAAGTTTTAAAGTGCTAGATTAGTTTCTTTTAACCTATAATAAGTTATAATAAGCCTTAATGTAAAGTTACACACTTTATTACTACTACTACTTATACATAAACAGCCTTAGTAGTTATAAACTTTAAGTAATACTTTAAAACTTAAGTTATAATTAATGCTTATAAAAATAAAAATTTAGAAACATATAAATAGTTTACTAACTTTTATAGTTAAAGTGTTTAAAAAAGTTTTTAAAAAAGTAGTAATAATTACATATAAGCTAGTATTAGTATAATAAAAAATTACTAAGCTTTAAGTAGCTAATAAGGCTACTATGTAATATAAATTACATAAAAAAAAGTAAATTAAAGTAAAAAAGGCTTTAATAATTTAAAAAGGCCTATACTTAACAGCTCTAAAGGAGTTTAAAGCGCGCAGTAATAGAAAGAAGGCAAAAAAGCAGGTGTAAGCTAGAGTAGATAAGCTATTCTAAAGGCGCTATAAATAGTGTAATTAGACTAGGTATAACACACAAACATGTAAGTAAGAAGTAAAAGTAGTATCTAAATAATATTCTAAGCTATACTATACTATATAGTGCTAGAGCAAGTTGTTATAGGCTATAATAGAGTTTGTTAGGGTGTAGTCTTAGCAAAAGTAAGCGACTTAGGTGTGTAAGCAACTCGCCTGTGAAGTACGTTATATAAGATAAGATAACTAACTATGTATACTTTTAGCTAGTAGAAAAGTTAATAGTTATAGAGAAAATAGCATATAAGCTATATAGGTATGTTATTACTATCTATAAAGTCTTAAACGTTATTATCTTAGATAAAAATAAGCTATTTATGTTAAAGCGTTAGTAATATTTAATAAGAAACTAAAAAATAAAAATCTAACTTTTTATAGCATATTATTAAAAGATAGATAGACGGACTAAATAGACTAACTAGACGCTAATAATATATCTATAGAAGTATATAAATAAAAGGAGAAAAGACTATGCATAGTAGCTATCTGCAGCCTAGTTTACCTTTAACACTTACAATTATTAGCTATAAGAATAACACTTTTTAAAGCTAACTATAGTTATAAAGCACAAATTCTTAGAAACAAAAGACTTAGAACTAAACTAGAAACATCTAAAGTAGTTATAAACCATGTGTAGCATCTATAAGCATTCTATAGTTAGTTAACACAAAAAATAAAGCAGAATAATTAAAAAATAACGTTAGCACATAAAGCTAACTAGACATAAGTAAAAAAACTATAGTCTTATTCTAAAAACAAAGTGTACCTTAGTATATCAAACCTTAGATATCTAATAAGACTACTACTTATAAAAGAAAAGTAGAAATTAGGTGACATACGCTAGTTATTAAATTTGTTGTTTAATTTATAGATGTTGCTAAAGCTAGTGAAAATGCAACTAAAATCTATATAGTTGTAAACAAAGCATTTAATAAAAAATGTCTACGCCTAGATGCAGTTAGATTGTCTATTTCCACTTCTTTAAAGTTCTTCTTTAACAAGATAATAAAGAACAAGCTAAAAGCAAAAAGAATGCTAGCTTTAGCAAGAACACCTAGAAGTATTTTTAATTAGACTGTAAGTGCAAAGAATATCATGCTTGCTTAGCGTTAAGCGTTAGTTGAATTAGTAAATGAAATCGAACTTGTAGAGTGTAGTATAGTATTTGTGGTCTTTTCTAAGCTTAGTTAACAGAGTAGTTTACTTAATACTAAAGTACAGACGCTTATTTAAAGGTTAGTAAGTTTAAGTAATATAAACTAGAGTGTTTCTTACCTAAGTATCCTAGACGTATTTCGAGAGTAGAAGACGTGGAATTATCTCTACTTTGTAACTCTACTAAGAAAATGTTAGGAACTCTAGAGGAGTTTAATACACATTTAGTAAGCAATAGAGCTAGCTACATTTATGAAAATTCTATTAATGTAGCGTGTGGGAGTATTACTGTAAAATGTAAGAGTAGGTATAGAAAGACGGTAGGTCTAAAGACAGTAATTCATAGTTTCTGTAAGGACAGGGCTCCGCACCACTCCGCCAATACAACCAAAAGGTACGAATAATCAACCAACGTTAATTTTCGGGTGCAGAATAGTATATATACCCGTCGCACGTAAGCACCATCTCGGCCTTACAGTTTCTACAAGATAGACTATTAGTATGAATGTCTAAAGACTTTAGTACAAAACTTACGCATTCGTTTCGTAATTCCCATGTTAGCAGACGTGAAAAGCAAGAAGTGTAATTGGTTTTGTGTATACTAGAACGTATAAAGGGTTTATTTTAGAGATTGAATAGGTAGGCTAAGTAAATTTACTATTATACTAAATATTTATACTTTTCTACTAGCACATAATTTATTATTTTCTTTCCATATTCTTTACACTAGAGACCTAAGACAGGACAGGGGCTAGATTGCGCGCGCTTCTCCTACAACTAATAGAGGCGGGACCTTCTCCCATTCTCGTTTCAGTTCACGCGGCAAGCGCTAGTACAAGGTATTAGGATTGTAGAGGTTGTCTAGCTCCTAGGCTGCTAATCGCCTACCTTTTACTTTAAGAAATATAGCTTAGCTTCAAATGCTCTCCGTTTTAAGTATTAGTCTAATTGCCAACTACTATGCCCCTCTTAACGCTAGCGATATGTTTTTTTTAAATTTACGCCAAGCATCTAATGGGGCGTCGTTAGGCTTGTGACTTTAGCTACTGAAAGTTTGTTAGATAGGACTGTTTCCACTAGGTGCGGCGTAGCTGTTGGCGCTTAGCGTGTCTGTTTAAGCTATGTGCCACATGCTTAAAATTTGTAACTCTAGCTATAGAAAGCTTGTTAGCGCCAGGGCTGTTTCCACTAGGTGCGGTGTAGCTGTTGGCGCCCGCGTGTCAAGTTCAAGATATGTGCTATGCTTGAAACTTGCGACTCTAGCGACAGAAAACCAGTTAGCGCCAGGACTGTTTCCACCGGATGCGGCGTAGCTGTTAGCGATCTAACAGTCTAAGGAGCAGCCTCAAGGCTCTAAATAGTTCGCAAAATAAGGGTATAGAACTTCCTTGCTAAGCATTGTCTGTTAATATTTTAAGAACCCTTAACTAGTTGTTACTTTCAAACCGCTAGGTACCCCATATTACGAACAAACTTAGCGCGCGACATAGAATTCAAGGGCAAATGCAGAATCGACAGGCATTTTCCGCTACCATGTCCTCCTGATTTGAGCACCGCTTAGACGTTCCATTGGGGGCTGAACAGGCGTTCGGGTATTCTAGTGGTCATAGGGGGGTTCAATGACTTTAATCAAGAATTCGTACGAGAGACATTGGTACAGGATAGAGGTGAAATTTCTGCGAGTACTCGAATGTGCCGCCGACGGCGCTTGTACTTCGTATGATTAGCTCCTAGTAGTCACATGCATGGTGTAGGTACGAAAATAATCTTTAATGCAGTCTTAAGTGTATTAGGGTGTCAAGACATTAAAGTAAAAAAAGCAACTTTCATTACTTCGAGCCACAGAACCCTGAAGATTCACTGTCACAATAATATAGATCTACCATGGCATTCCATCTGACATGACCCATGCCGACCAAACATCACTGGTCGCTAAAGTATCATCCATTTCGACCAGATATAGCATCCCAGGCGTCAACAAAAGCCCCAATCATTATATGTTGGTTCTTCGCTGCCCTAAAAGACGGGTCTAAGTCGATTGGAGGTGCAGCCGGTTCGTCCGTCAGTTGAAATGAATTGGTTGCCGGCTGGTGCGGCAGCTGTGGTTGCGAAGGAGGAACCTGCCCAAATTGCGCGTGCATGGCTGCACTGATGTCATTCCCAGAGACAGGTCCGACTGAAGGTCCTGATTGAGCTTGACTGGACTGATTCTGCTGACTAGACGTATTGCTGTGGCCGGCGCTTTAGCGTGGGACCCAACTGTTGTTTTGAAGGACGTACTTCCCGTCCATAGTGTACACATTTCCATCAGACGCACAGAACGTGTTAAGAGGGAGTGTCTAGGACATATTAAAGCTTTTTGTGTCAGCATTTAAGACTCTAAAGAAATTCAAGGAGATATATTTTATAAACATACTGTAAACGTAGGCTGATGACTTCTTCTTGTAGGTGGTGTACTGGATGCGTCTTACGGCGCTGAAACTGCGAGCGCAATCTACATTTTAAAGGCGTTGGGGGAAGACAGGTGGTGGGATGCGGCGCCAAGCCGCTAAAAGTGGGGAGCGAGTATCCAATAGGATACCAGAGGCCTCGGCGCGAAGAACGCATACATGCCGTTCATTATAAACTAATCCTTAAGCGCCTTCAGCGTAGGCGCCCATTGCTGCCGCTCGTCGCCTGTCGCACGCTCTTCGCCGCACCCTTAAATGCTAAGCGCTAGCTTCAGATTATTCGCGCTGTTGGAGTAACATGCGCGTAAAACATATAAAGCGCTATTTGTAGGTAGTTAACTGTTCTTATTCTTATTAGAGCACACCATCTACTACAAACAGCTTTTACATCTATATTAACTCAAGGGCATCAACGTCTACTACACTCTTAAGCAATCTTTAAGTTTAAAGGAAAATATAGCAGCATAAGATAATCACTCTACTTCTACAAGCTTCTACTTAGTCTAATTTCAATTCAGACAACAACAGCAACGACAGGTACCAGGGTCGATTGCGTCGAACCTTGGCGTTCCCAATTGGGCACCCCAATTCTGGGAAACATCAACTTCGGCCTACAGATGCATCGGCAAAATTTACAAAAAAGGAGCCTATTATACACAAGAGGATGTCGTATGGCATGCATGGCAAGCCATCCTCAACATCTATTTTCCACAAGTCGTGGCGACACCAAATGGCATATCCTGGTCTGTTGAACGAGAGGCCTGCAGAGGCTTGCCTCCCGGACAAACTCCCTCAGGCACCAAGCCGGACGTAATTGAGGTCAGATTGAATCCAATCGTGGTGCTTCCAGGCCGTCCCTCTAGGACTCAAGGCAGAGATTTCCTGTGGGTGGAAAGACGTCCTGCAAGAAGCAGCAGTGCCTCGCTTATGCGCATTCAACTTGACCTTTATATCTGATCATCGCTATTGGATGGAAATGTATGTTCTTTTTTTGGGACCCTACCGGAATGGTACAGCAGCCACAGCTCTATATTAGGTCAGAAGACAACACAGTACAATAGCCTATAGATGCACGCATCAAGGGCACACAGTCGACTCCGTGGGTGAATACTCATGCATGAGCTGAGAAGGGGTCATAGGTAAGAGAGTCGACAAGGTATTGAGATCCAAACAAGGTGAATTGTACTAGTGTATTGTAAGGTCTAAGGAGCTTAAGAGTGCTCTAGGCTAACTATATACTGTACAGTCGCCTACCAAAAGTGATTGGCCACTTTAGCGAGAGGCCTAGGCCACCCCACAATGCTTTAATTTCAATCAATTGTAACTTAATCAAATTACCACCTTTTTCAATAGTTACAAAAGCAAATAAAACCTTGCGCAAAGAGCTATCTAAGTCTACTATTAATACAATATGGCAATTCCACCTCTATAGCGTGAGCGCTAGCAAAATTTTAAGTTATCTTAGCATTCCTAAGTCAACAGTTACATATAACATCCGCCGGCTGCGCAAGCAGCCCCAGCCTATCTATACAAAAGCCCTGCGTACAGGCTAGCCTCTAAAGCTTAACAAACGCGCTAAGAGGCATTTAATTCACTAGGCAGCAAATAATCCCTTTGCTACGCTCTAGACTATTGCGACACTGTCTAAGACCCACTGCCGCATCCATGCTAGTACTGTAAGGAGATACCTTGCAAAACATAAGTACTACGCCTTCTGTCTGCGTCACAAGCCTTAGCTCTTAGCTGTACACAAAGAAAAACAACTCTGCTTTACTTAAATCTATTAATATAACAAGAGCAGTAACGTAGCTTGCGTAGCCTATTGTAATAAAGCAACATTTGAAGTTGGCTTAGACACTAGACCTCCATATGTACGTTAGCAGCATAGAAAAGCGTACAAGAGTGTCACGATTATGCACGAGTAAGGTTATAGAGCTTCACAGAGGTCTAGTTTAATTACTACGTGAGGTATTATAGTAGGTACAAGACGTTGTGTAAGGAATAGAAAGGTTTAGAAAAAAATTAGTAATTAAATACTTAGCTTAAAAGTCTAAGCGCTTTAAGTATAAATTAAGCCTGTTTTAAGTTTAGTTAGTGTTAAAGCAGTTTATACTTAAGTTTATGTCTATATTATATTATATTTATGTTAGACATGCACTAATAATACTCTAGTACATGTCTAATATAGTTATGTCTAGGATCTAGGGAGGATACTGTAATAGTACCCCCCCTCTTATTAAGAAGAGAATCCTTTACATTAGTAGTTCTAGCATTAAGTTGTCTTTATTAAAGTATAGGTTTAGTTTAGATAAGTATTAAGCATAAAATTAAGTTACTATAGAGTTCTTTTATAAAGCTTCTATAAGTTTCTATAATAGTTTATTATATCTAGTCTATTTTATAAAGTATTTATAAATATGTTTTTTTTTATTAAACTAGATCTATTTAATGTCTTTTATAACATATTCTAGTTTATTATTTATAATAATAGGTTTAAGTAGCAGGTTTAGCTGTCTAGGTAAATAGTTAGATTTAAGGGCTACTTAGCGCAGTAATAATATGTAGAACACAGGGTGTATCTTTATGCTGTTAGGTAGAATTAATTAGTAAGCATATAATAAAACTATATAGGCTACTATAAAGGGGCTAAAGTTCTTTTAATTAAGTTTCTTTAATTATTAGTTTATTTAGATATTTCTAGTGTCTAGCTAGACCTTCTTGCTAGCTGCATATGCAAGGGTAAAAGTTTAGAATTAGTTTACATACTTTTATTAAAAAGCTTAAGCCTATATAAGCTTTTTATAAATGTATTTAGATATATTTTAGATCTTATTAATAAGTCTATTTATATTTATTACTTATATAAATTAATAAGTTAGTTAGAGAGTATTTATAAGTAGTTTAAATTTTATTTAAAAGTAGTATCTATAGTTTACTAAAAATAGGAATACTTATGTTAATTTAGATGTTATGTTATTAGCTTTAAACTATGCTATAGCTAACTATTTTACCTAGTTATCCTACTAGTAGTTTATGTACACTTATAGAACTTATTTTATTATAGTGTTTATGTTCTTAGTCTAGCTGTTAGTCTCTAGGTAAAAAGCTGTAGATAGATAAGAGATAATTTAGAGCTGTTTATAGAGTTTATTCTAGAAAGCTAAGACAAACTGTGTACCTCTGTCTAATATAATTATGTTAGGCAGGCTATAGTAAACTTATATGTATTAGTAGAATAACTAGGCTATATTAGAGGCAGTTATAGAGGAATATAGTATTAAGTGTTAATACTTAGTTAAGTAATTAACAACTACTATAATATTTATTAGCAGAGCTTGCTCTGCTTATTATATTCGGGTTTGCAGAACGAAAAGTTGAGCAGAATCTCCTCTTTTGGACGCGCTAGTTAGTCAGAATTTCTTCGGATAAACCCCGGTAACGCTATTTCTCTGTCACCTTAGGTATTTCTTACATTCTTTTTTAAAAAAAATGTATACCTAATATAGGTGCACCTTTCTGTTAATTTGCATGCAGTTTACTCTAGCATGCGTTGTGTAAAACATGTTTAAATTATAGATAGTTGCGTCTGTTCCACCTCTCTAGCCACATCGGTGTGTCGGGGATTGGCATCAGCCACATTGGTGTGTCAGGGAATGGCATCAGCCGCATCGGTGTGTCGGGGATTGGCAGTTGCTCACACACCTGAGTTGCTCACTTTTGCCAAGACCACACCACAACAAACTTTATAACAACCCGCTCTAGCACTATAGAGTAGAGTACAGCTTAGAATATCATTTAGATACTACTTCTACTTCTTGCTTACACGTTTGCGCGTTATGCCTAGTCTAATTGCACTGTCTGCAGCGCCTTTAGGATTACTTACCTACTTTTGTCAGATTTGCGCACCTACTGTCAAGACAGGAGGAACGCTTGACGAAAGCTGCTACATAGTACGAGCAATAAGCTCGAACAGTATGTTGCTGTAAATTGCAGCATTTTGCAGCATGTTGCAGCAAATTGCAGCATTTTGCAGCATGTTGCAGCAAATTGCAGCATGTTGCAGCAGTTTGCAGCAAATTGCAGCATGTTGCAGCAGTTTGCAGCAAATTGCAGCAAATTGCAGCATGTTGCAGCAAATTGCAGCAAATTGCAGCAAATTGCAGCATGTTGCAGCAGTTTGCAGCAAATTGCAGAAAATTGCAGCATTTTGCAAGCTGGTCGCGCATAGGGCAAGTGCGCGAGGGACTCGGATCGGCAAAACAAAAAGCCGAGCAACACGAGTAGAGCAGAAAAAGGATCGATAAATCAACACGATCAATACAATCAATCAATCATCCCATACATCATATCCAAACCCATCATTCATCTCAGGAAGCCCAGAAACAGTGCTTCAATCTGACAACTTTAGCTTTGTCAGATATGCGCACCTACTGTCAAGACAGGAGGAACGCTGGACGAAAGCTGCTACATAGTACAAGCAATAAGCTCGAACAGTATGTTGCAACAAATTGCGGCATGTTGCAGCAAATTGCAGCATGTTGCAGCAAATTGCAGCATTTTGCAGCAAATTGCAGCATGTTGCAGCATTTTGCAATATTCTGCAACAAATTGCAGCATGTTGCAAGCTGGTCGCGCATAGGGCTAGTGCGCGAGGGACTCGGATCGGAAAAACAAAAGCCGAGCAACACAAGTAGAGCAGAAAAAGGATCAATAGATCAACACAATCAATCATCATCCTATACATTATATCCAAACCCATCATTCATCTCAGGAAGCCTAGAAACAGTGCTTTAATCTAACAAGCTTACACTTGCTTCTTTACCTTCTTCCTATCACTACGTGCCCTAACCTCCTTTAGAGCTGTTAAGCGCAGGCTTTTCTAAATGTAGCTGCCTTATTAGCTGCTTAAAGCTTTGTAATTTCCTATTACGCTAACACTAGCTTATGTACAATTATTGCTATCCTTTTTAAGGCTTTTTTTCTAGAGACATTACCCCTATATAACCCTCTCTATACGTAGAGCTACTTGTAACACAACTAATATCTACTAGAGATTGCTGCCTGCTGCTGTGATCTACTGCAGTTTGCTGCAATTTGCTATAGTTTGCTGTAGTTTGCTGTAGTTTGCCGCAATTTGATATAGTTTACCGCAATTTGCTGTAGTTTGCTGCAATTTGCTGTAGTTTACTGCAATTTACTGTAGTTTGCTGCAATTTGCTGTAGTTTACTGCAATTTGCTATAATTTACTTTATGCATTTCTTAACACTAGTAGGTAATCTCTTACTAACATCTCTAGGCATTAGCCTATTATATTTAAACAGTAGTTAAAGAAGCTAAACTAGCAGTTGTGTAAGCAAAACAGCTTGTTAAAGTATTACATGTACTACATTAATCTTTGCAGCGATAGAGAGGCAGAGGCAGAGGCAGAGGCAGCGCTAGAGCTCCCTAGCACTCTAAGAAATTCCTGCAGAGGCAATAAACTACACAAGCTACAGCTCTACAACTAGGGCTTTAATGCTAAAACAATTAAATTAAAGATATTAGGTAGCAGTATTAGGCATAGCGTGGCAGTATTAGGCAGTAAAAGGAACAGACGCAATGTGTAACAAGGTAGGCATAGTTAACTACATAGCCTTCTCTCGCTTATAGAGGTTTAGGCTAGACTAGAGACAACTGCTAGTGCTAGTGCTAGCCCTAGCATTATCTATATATATATTATACTATGCTAGAATACTTAGCTTAAGTATTCCTGTGCGTACCTTTTAGTATAGTAGGGAAAGTTGCATAGTATTAGCTTAGCAGGCAGGGCGTCTACCTTATTACACAACACTAGAGACTGCAAGGTGCAAAGGGGAGGATGTAAGAGGTATTAAGTAGGAAACACAGGTTACAG